GTTAATATAAAATTATAGGAAAAAAGGAACCTGAACTTTCATAACACAGCTGGAACAATCTTGCAGCAGTGGGAAAAGAGATTTAATTCAGTTGATTCTCTGTGGTTTTTGGTTGCACACTAATCTCATAGTGAGAGAAGCTGCACATTTTCCTGGAGAGACCAAGAAACTGCTGGAGGCTTGATTCTCTTGGCAGCCGCCGGTTGCAAACCAAGGATCTGGACATCTTCACACTATCCCGAGATCTGAGTAGGATGTATTTTTAAAGGATGTGCAATGTTCAATCCTAAGTGTGACAAAAACTGACAAGCAGGAGGATGCTTATGTACTCAGAGTAGCACGTTTGTCTCCAGGAGACATTTCATTTGGAAGACATGTGGTGCCACCCTCTTGCTGAAAGCACTGGTTCCCCTGTTGAAGCTTGCTAGGGATTACAGTGGGTTTGACTCAATTCAAAGCTTCTTTTATTCTTGTGAGAACTTCATGAAGCTTTCTTGCCAAGGATACCTGCACCAGAATTTCCAAGGAGAAATAAAGCTTCTTCATGCAATTTTCCCAAACAGAGCAACATATTGTATGGAACATACACCAGTCATCTCAATCAAACCCTGGAAGTTTTGATGGGTGAGCTTGACCCAGAGTTATGAATCAGGTCTGCATAATAGATGGTGTTGAGGGTATTCAGTAAATGGAATGAAATCAGATGGAACTCATTGGATTAGTCACATCATGCCAAAACTAGAATTATGTTATGTTAAAACAAACTGAAGTCAGACCTCTCATGATGATTGGATCAGGAAAGTTGTGGGAGTCTTCAAGCCAGGAAAATTTATAACCACCTTGTTTGTCAATCAGAATTCTAAATATTGCACAGTACTTTCTTCACCCCAGAAGATTGAAGGTTACAAACATTGTGATTGCCAGAGTGCTATGTTCAATGATTACAATTTTGTTTTTACCAGTTTTGCTAAGAAGCGGCAATAACAACAATGTTGATTAAGAAAATTGAGAAAAAAGTGCAAAAAGGGAATACATAAAAGATAGTGGATGCTTTCTTGCTGTTGATACCAGGGGCCACATTTTCCATAACCACCACCTTGTAGTTGCAGAAAGCCCTAGATGTAACAATAGTGTAATCATCTTGAAGTGTATGCATTATTATATCAAGAAGTTAGATATCTTCCATGAATGCTCTCTTCTCTATTTAGGTATTCTATGCCACACTTGCTGAGAATTGAAGTGCGTGTAGAAAAACCTTTTAGTATAGGAAACTTTACAATAATTGTGATAACAATTCAATTTGGTTTATGCAGATTGTAATATTTCTGCAGGAATTGTCCAGAATTCCCCACAAACAAAGCTTTCATCCTCATTAAGTGTCAGCCTTAGCCTACCTATCTGGGACTATTGTATTAAATTGCTGGGAGAATTTTATATCCAGTTCCCTCTACTTTCTAGAACATATCCTATACCAATATCCCTGAGCTAAAGAAAAGGTTGAATATTTAAAGTGGAGATTGATGAGGAGTGATATAGACTTAGACATATTCTAGGAAGTTTCTGAGTTTTAAGTATAAATAGAAAACATTCAAAGTTTTCTGTCCAAAAGAACAAGCTAACCATAAAGGGAAAAATATTATACTGACTTTGAACTTCTCATTTGCAACCCTGGAAGTTAAAAATCAGTAGCTTACATCTGAGTACTACTGAAAGAGATGAATTTCAATCTAAGAATCCTGTATGTAGCTAAGAAATTTTATTCACCTGTCAGCAAAATAAAGGTATTTGAAAATATGCCAGTGTTCGGAAAGGAAAATTCTCAGCAAATTCTAATGAAAACCAATAATAAATGCCACAGAATATAAACAGAATATTTAATATGAGAGAAACAAAAACTTGAAAAAAAACAATGATATACAGAAAAGGTGCTTTTATTTTAAGTCTAAGTGTTAAATCAGCAGGATGCTGTAGGGGCACACCTGTCATCCCAGCTAGTGGGGAGACTGAGACAGGAGGATTGCAAGTTTGATGCCAGCCTAAGCAACTTAGTGAGACCCTGCCTCAAAAAATTTTAAAGTGCTGGGGATATAGCTTAGTGGTAGAGGGCCTCTGGGTTCAACTCTGTTCTGCAATCAATCAATCAATCAATCAATCAATCAATCAATAAATAAATAAAATGCAAAAAATCAAATCAGTTGAACTCAGAGTTCAAATGAATATGTAATACTACAGAACATGTAGAGGAATTATGAAATAAATACTCTAGAAAGAGAAGGGAAATACAATAAGGGAAATTTTATTAATCATTTCAGATTAAGTGTAATAAACTTTCTCTGCAAAACTCAAGAGTTAGTGAGGAATGGGACAGATAGAGAAGGAGAAATTAAAACTCTTTTCTAAGGGGGATGGAGGAAAAAAGTAAGTAAAGGAAATTATTTAAAATTCTTATCTTATTGGTGATAGTTTTAAAAAAGGAAAAAAACAGAATATATTTGTAACATGTAATGTTCTTCTGCCTTCAGGTGAAAGTCAAAAAGAGAAAATTAAATATTAATAGAATTTTTTATAAATTAAAGTTTAAGTTAATAAAGAAGAAAATGAAGCACAGCTACATAAATCCAATATGAAAAGAAGTAGGAAGCAACAATGTAAAAATAAGTGATAGGTAGAATACATGATGAGATAGGAAATATCCATGTCCTTACGTTAAATATAAATGAACTGACTTCATCCATGAAAGAGTGGAGAATATCAGATTGGATTTTAAAAATTTAAACTTTGTAAAATCTTTTACAAGAAACACACAAAATAATAAAAAGATTATAAATTTAGGAGTGGAAAAAGATACTAGACAAACTAAAAAGGAAATAGAAATGGCAATATTAATATCAGACAATGTGGAATTGGAGTAAAAATACACTAAAGAAGATACATAGTTAATTTTATAATGAGAAAAAATAATCATGAAAAATGTATAGTCAAGATTTTATTAACATAAAAATTATCCAAAATACAGAGATGATTTGCTTAAAAGGAGTCACAGTAGAAGAATGTAATGCATGATTTGATAAAATTAAGACAACTTGAAGGATTATATCATATTTTTTAAAATATGGTTTAATGGATAATGTATTTGTGTCTGTGTACATATCTGATAGCCCTTCACTAAAAAAAAATTGTCAATATTCTAAAAGGCTTATAAAAACTCATCATGTTCCCATCTATAAAGAAAACCTGAGTAAGTTTGGAGAAGTATCTTAAAGGTCACATTTTTATAATACTTCAGTAAAATCAGAAATAAGTTAAAATGAGGTACCAAATAAATCATATTATGTTTTGGATGTGAGATATCCCCCCAAACCTCATGTGTTAGACAATGCAAGAACATACAGAGGTAAAATGATTGAGTTATAAGAGCCTTAACCCAATCAGTGAATTAATGCCCTGATTGGGATTAACTGAGTGCTAACTGAAGGAAGGTAGGCTGTGGCTGGAGGAGGTGGGTCCTTGAGGGTGTCTCTTGGGGTATCTATTTTGTATCTAGCAAGCGTTTTCTCTCTGGGTACTTCCTGATCATCATGTGAGCTGCTTCCCTTCACCACGCCCTTCTGCCATGATGTTCTGCCTCATCTCAAGCCCTGAGGAATGGATGAGCCCTGAAACCATGAGCCCCCAAATAAACTTTTCCTCCTCTGTTTTTGTGAGGTCTTTTAGTCACAGCACTGAACAATAAACTAAAACAAATCATATGTCTTAGAAATTAACTAGTTTTTTTCTTAATTTTTTTTTATTTTAGAGAATAACAAAAGAAAATTTACAAACCATATACAAAGCAATGAAAAGGACACTTAAGTTCACTTTTTTAAAAAATATGGAATTAAGATACTTTAATTCATACTAGAATTTCTTTTTTTAACATGACAGTAGAGTATATTTGGAAATATTATACATATATAGAATAAGTATAACTTATTTGAATTAGGATCCCATTATTGTGATTGTACATGATAATGGGGTTATATTGATTTTGTATTCATATATGCAGATAGGAAAGATATGTACAATATGACAATGTGTACAATATGACTTATTGTACTGTCTTTCTTTCCTATTCCTTTCCCCCCATTCCCTTCATTCCCTTTGTCCAATGAACCTCTTATCTTCCCCTCTGTTGTGATTTAGTATCCACATATCAGAGAGAACATGCTGCCTTTGGTTTTTTGGGTCTGGCTTGTTTCAGTTAGCATGATATTCTCCAGTTCCATCAATTTACCAGCCATAATTTCACTCTTCTTTATGGCTGAGTAATATTCCATTGTGTATATATACCACATTTTCTTTATCCATTCATCTTTACCAGGTCGGCTTTAGTGCAAGTGGTTACTTCCTCATGCTGGACTTTATCTGTCACTTCACTTCACAATTTGAAATCTGCTGAAAGTTCCCCAGGTAAATGTGCAGCCTTAAATATTTTCACTATTAAAGAAGAGGCAGAAAATTAAGATGCTAAGTAGTGCTTTCTTTCATGTTTGAAAGACCAAAAGTAAATGCCATCTCTCTTTCCTATCCATCAAAGAAAATTAGCAAAATGGATCAAAAAATGCAACTGCCACATGGCCAAGAGTAAGTCATGTGACCTCACCTGAGTCTAAAGGGACAGGAAGCACATTCTCACTCTGCCCAGAAGTAGAACAGAAATATCTGTGAATAATCCTGAACTACCACACTACCTGTGCCTAAATTTCATGGGCCTAACATTGGGATGAAATATTCATTTTCAAATTCCTAATCTCAAAGTCTATTTAATACAAAATGTAGGTGAAATAAGGTTTATATGGGCCTTTAGCCATCAAAAATCCTAGTTTGTCAGTCCTTATCTTCCCTTACACGCCCTGAACATCTCTGGATCTCATAGCTGAGATGAAGAAATTCAGATCTGTGTAGCTTTCTCAGCATCAGTAAATAAAATGTTAGGTGAAAGGAAAATAGCCATGCTACATCTATGTACATGTCAGTTTGAGCTCAAGTATTAGCAAACTAGTACAAGCACATGTACGGTTATTTTATTTATAAAATAAATCTCCTTGATTATACAGCAGTGATCTAATTTATGTGTGTTTTATAATGTATTTTTGTGTCTAATGATATTTCATTAATTAAAATATTTTTGTTAGAAGGGACAACTATAAATCTTATTAACTTAATAAGCAAGACTAATCTGAGATATAGTATCAGTATCATCAACAAATGCTTGTGTACTTATATTCACATTTGCTACCCAATTAGTTAAAAGATTCTGTTTATATTGGGATGTTAGATTTTGCAAAAAGTATAAGGCTCTGAGAAAAGAAAGTTATGTTTAACTAGTTGTTTAGTCTAACAAAGAGACAAATAATGAATAATTATCTCAGGTACTAAAGGAAAAGTTTCACATTGTTCAACATTGAAATGTAAAAAGGCTATGATATTGAAATTTTTTATCAATTCTCTAGACAGCAACTTATCAAAGAAAACACAAAGAACTTCCCATTTCTCTTCTTTATCTGATAGGAGTGACAGAATTATCTACCATTGCTTTCAGGTAAAACTAGTACAGTTCACTTGATTAAAAACAGAATAAACGTAGACACAATCATATTGTATATGACTACATATATAAGTGTCATTTTATATATATATAAAACTATATATGTGTAACATATCTATTGACTTACCATTTGTAATAAAAAGATCTGAAAAATTCAAAGCACTTTTCAACTTCTTTCTTTCACGTTTTATTAGTGTAATAGAATTATCTCAACTTTTTGGATGCCAAAGGTGTTCTGCCCTACACTTACAAAACCACGATAAACTGTATTTCATTTCAACCCCACTCAGAATTTTTCAAACTCAGTCCTCACTTTTTTTCCACCTCTCTAAATTTTTAGAATTTAAAATAATTGGGGGAGGGGGTTACTGGGGTTTGAACTTCAGGGCACTCGACCACTGAGCCACATCCTGAGTTCTATTTTGTATTTTATTTAGAGACAGGTCTCACTGAGTTGCTTAGTGCCTCGCCATTGCTGAGGAGGCTGGTTTGAACTCATGATCCTCCTGCCTCTGCCTCTGGAATAACTGGGATTGTAGGCTTGCACCACTGTGCCTGGCTAGAATTTTAAAAAATTGTAAAGACCTTCACAAATAGCCCTCTGAGACATAGAACGTCCTTTTACTGTTCCCTCCAAAGAAAACTTTTTTTTTTTTATTTTACCCTGGTGGCCCTCTTCCTTCTCCCTTCCCCTATTCCTTTTCTTCTACTCTACTGGTCTACCTTCCACTCATTTATGTATCTTTAATTGGTGCTTTGTAGATACATATAAAGATAGACTTCACTGTGGTATATTTATATATGGAGCATAGTGTAATTTTGTCAAATTCATTCTGCATTTCCTCCCCTTTTCTATCCCTCCCCCCACCTCCTTCCCCTTGGTCTCCTTCTACTGCATGGATCTTCCCTCTATTTTCATGGAAACTGTCCTCCACATTTTTTCCCCTTTGCTTTAGCTTCAGTTTCAGCATATGAGAAAGAACACTGGACCCTTAACTTTCTGAGTTTGGCTCATTTCACTTAGCATGATGTTCTTCAATTCCATTGATTTATAGGCAAATGGCATAATTTCATTTTTCTTTATGGCTAAGTAAAACTCTATTTTATATATAATTTATTTTATGTATTATATACATAACACACACACACCACATTTTCTTAATACATTCAGCAATCGATGAGTACCTGTGTTGGTTTCATATCTTGGCTATTGTGAATTGCACTGCTATAAACATTGGTGTGCATGTATCACTATAGTATGCTGATTTTAATTCTTTTGAATAAATATCAAGAAGTGGAGTAGCTGGGTCATATTGTGGTAGCATTCCTAGGTTTTTTTTTTGTTTTTTTTTTTTTTTTTTTTGAGGAATCTCCATACTGCTTTCCAGAGTGGTTGAACTAACTTTCAGTTCACCAACAATGTATGAGTGTACCTTTTTCCCCACATTCTTGCCAGCATTTATTATTATTTTTATTCTTGATAATTGCAATTCTGACTAGAATGAGGTGAAATCTCAGTGTAGTTTTGATTTGTATTTCTCTGACTGCTAGAAATGCCTAAAACCTTTAATTTAATCTTCATGTTGACAGAGTTAGTTCTCAATTTGCCACAGTTGCTGACAATTAAATGAATTTTGAAGTCAAGCACTTTATTTAGAGTCCATTAAATAATTGTTAAACTAATTGCTTATCAATTAATATAAAATATAATAACAATATAAAATATAAAAGTATGACTAATTGTTGTACTTTTTACAATGGTATAATAATCAAAATTTCAAAGGAATCATAGAACCATAAAAATGCCTACTTGGAATGAAATAGATAAACACATTTTATATTTGTTTGCTTATGACTATAGAGATATATAATCACTGTAAAACATTTGGCAAATTAAAAAAAAAAGAATAAGGAGGAAAACAGAAATCAATATAACTTCTCCATTCAGCTATAACCTATTAATATTCTTATTAAGTTTTGCTTTATAATAAACTGTATGCTGCACAAACTTCCATAAGGATATAAAAATAAATGTATTTCTCTTTCATTCCCTCTCCCCTTCTGCAGACTCCAAACAACAGTACTAAACAAAGGAGAAAAAATGAAAGGAGGAGAAGAAATGAAGGGCCATAGAGAATGGAGTATGCCGAACATGTGGGATTTTTTAGCAACAGTTTTTCTTTTGGAAAATGGTTAAAATCAGCTAGTATTCGGATACTGGTGTTTGACATCTTTAGTTAAGAGAGGGTGGGATTGATTTACCTAGATTTGATACATAGACTATTTGCTTGCACAATAGTTAGCTTTTCATTGTTGTATCTCAGTCTGCCCATTATTTCAGGTTCTTTAGACAAACACCTTATTATGTTTCATGATGTTATCAATCAAGATAGTAAGTATCAATATCAGTAAGTTTACCTGTGCACTCAGGTTTATGAACACCTGGTCTCTGGGCAGAGTTTTTCTACTTGATTGCTGTTAATACTGTTGGAATCCTTTGACTCCTTTGTAGCACATGTGCATACGTTTTTAATTTTATAAAATTATAGCTGACAGTAGAATGCATTTTACACATCATACATAAATGAAGTGTAACTTCTCATTCTTCTGGTTGTACATGATGTAGAGTTACATCAGTCTTGTAATCATATATGTACATAGATTAATAATGTCTGATTCATTATATTATCCTTCCTACCCCATATCCTCTCCCCTCTATTCACTCCATTCTTTCTTATCCAAAGTACCTCTATTTTTCCCACCCCACCACCTTATTATGAATTAGCATCTGCATATCAGAGAAAACATTTAGACTTTGGTTCTTTGAGCTTGGCTCATTTCTCTTAGCATGAAATTCTCCAGCTCCATCCACTTACTGGCAAATGCCATATTTATATGTGCATAGTTCTGAAAGATGTTAAAGACTCCTATTTGATTTCAGGTTATTATTCCCATTCAGATTAAAAGCTCACTTTTAATAAACTAATAATTTTTGTTGTTTCTTTCAGGACCACCTAAAAATAACTTCTGTCTTCTTCAACCTTTAATTGAAAATAAAATCTTATTCAAAATGCAAACATTGTTTTACTAAAAATTCTCCCACTACTTGGGCCAGGAATGTTTATAATAGGTGAGTAGATGCTTAAAATCAGTTTGGGTACTTACCCTTCTGTCCTGATTTCTTATCTGCTGTTCTCTTTCTACTTTCTTTGTCTCATTTTCTCCACTATAAAATGTTTTTTTTGGGCTGGGGTTTTGGCTCAGTGGTAGAGCACTTGCCTAGTATGCATGAGGCACTGGGTTCAGTCCTCAGCATCACATAAAAATAAAATAAAGGTATTGTGTCCACCAACAATCAAAATATAAATATTAAAAAAGTTTTCTTCATTACAAATATTTTTTTCTCCTTTATTGTCTATTGAAGTACATATGAGTTTAATAAAAATTATCCTTCTTATTCTTTTATATAATAATATCAGCTAAAATTGTTCTGTGTGGTCTGTGTATATTCATATACCTATTTCATCTTCAGAAAATTTTAGCAAGATAACAGTATTTTCAGTGTAAAACAATTGTGATATTGTTCATTCAGAAATAAAATTAGATATATAACAAATGACATGTTTTTTATTTAAATTAACTGCAGCATTTAGAAATCCCACCTGTTGAACAATGACCACCTCATATTATATAAATGATTATCTTTAATTAAAAATGGTTTCAAATAGAAAATTTCTAGTCTCATTTTATATACAAGTCTTAACTGAGTATATACTAAAAGATAGGTGGATAAATGTAAATGCAAGACTGAGAAAGGATTCTTCTAAAATTTCTAAATAATCACATTGGTAACCTTGTCACATAGTAAAAATAAATGACATTAATAAAACAATTAGCTGGTTGATTGATTAAGATTCTCAGAAACATATCTCTGAGGTAAAAAGTAAATATTTTTAATTGAATTAAAATTTTTAAAATAACATCAAAATTTATATGCTAGGAGCTTGAGGTGTGGCTAGATCACTTGCCTACTATGTTCAAGGCTCTGGGTTCAATCCCAGTAGTATGATAAAACAACAACAACAACAAAAAGTTCTGAGTGAAAGCAAGACTTAGAGGGTAATCTTTAGCACTGAATACATGTATTAGATAAGAATAAACTCTATAATCAATAGTATAAGATTTTGCCTCAGGACACTAAAGAAAGAGCATTGTAAAATGCAAGTAGAAGGAAAAAAGTTAGAGCAGAAATCAATTAACATGAAATCAATAGAGAAAAATCAACAAAATCTAGTTCCCTAAAATAACATTGGAGCCAGGTGTGGAGGCGCAGGCCTGTAATCCCAGTGGCTAGGGAGGCTGAGATAGGAGGATAGAGTTCAAAGCCAGTCTCAGCAATAGCGAGGCACTAAGCAACTCATTGAGACCCTGTCTCTAAATAAAATATAAAATAGGGCTGGGGATGTGGCTCAGTGGTCAAGTGCCCGAGTTCAATCCCCACTACCCCCAAAATAAATAAATAACATTCGTCCACCTCTAGCCAGAAATGAAGGGGTGGGAAGTAAAAGACACAAATTACCAATACCAGAAATGAGACAGGAACCATCACTACTATCACATGGATATTGAACACTAAATGACAAATACACATACATGTCAATTCACACATAGACATAAAATACAAAATATGAAAGAAAAATCATCAAAATCAATGTATAGGTTGCCCTTGGAGAAGAATCTGTGATTTAGTAGGAGTTTAAAAGTGGCCTTACAGACTTTTATCAGTGGGTTGTTTAAAGCAAGAGAAGAAATTTATGCATTTCTTATGCAATTAAAAACATTTTTGAAAGTGAAGAACAATTGAAAGCCTCGATAACCCTCTAATCAGCATTACACCCGGTAAAGGTGAGTGTTGTTAGTACACAGAGCAGATACAGGTGCATAAGGAGAGCTGTCTGTCATTGCTGATAGTATAACTCATACTCATCAAGTGCTCACAGCGTGCCAGCAAGAAAGCTGGGGTAAAACTAAAAAAAAAAAAAAAATGGTGCCTCCCATGATGAAGACATAATCCTCAGTACAATACATTTGGCACCTACTTTCATTCATAGGAGGCAGGATTTATTGAGCACTAACCACATGCCAGGCACTGTTTCTTGTGTTTGATAACATGAATTTTTCACTCAATCCTCATAGCAACCATATGCATTATTTCTATTCCTGTTCTGAAGATGCCCAACCCAGGTGAGTTAGTAACTTGCTTATGTGTAACCCAGCTAGACAGTAGTATTCAAACTCACCATGCCTTGCTGTCAACACTGCTTGATGGATCTTTACCAAAACTTGGCTACATACTACCCACTATGATTCAGCATATGAGGAAACAGACCTGAAGATGTCAGCAGTGGAGTATGGTCATGCCAATTAGTGGAGGCAGATCCACATTTTCAACCAGCTTTCTCTCCAATACTCATTCTTCTTTATGAAGTTATGGAAATGTACAAGTATAAAAGCGTTTTTTAAGATATATTGTCCAATTTGTTTCCAGCTTTATTGAGGAATTAAAAAACACTCCTAAGTTGAACAACAAAATCCTTCATGGTTTTTGTACATAATTAGAGTATCGAACTGGGTGAATTTGAACACAGATATACACTCATGTCACCATCACCATAATTAATTTAATAAGCAGATCCAGTCCTTCCAAAGGTTTCCTTGTGTCTCTCTGTGACTTGTTGGGTTTTTTTTTTTTTTGCTTGCTTGTTTGTTTGTTTTTATGGTAAGAACACTTAACAGGACACCTACTCTCTTGACAAAATTTTAAATACATAATACCTTGTTAACTGTATGCTGTACAGCAAATTTTTGGAACATACTCATCTTTTATAACTAGTCAAAGGAATAGAAGTAGTCAAGGGAAGAGAAGTAGACAGTAGTGGTTACCAGGGAGTGAGTGGGGGGATTTGGGAAGGCGTTGTTCAATACAGTGCTCCAGAGGCTTGGATGACGCTCCAGGGGGACTCCTGAGCCAGCCTGATTGTCACACTCTATTTCTTCCATACCTTAGTAGTTCCCCTCAACCTCCTTCCTCAGTTCCCTTCCTGCTATTTATCTAACGTGGGTTTCCTCTTGGTAGCTGCTTTTGTCTGCCAGTCTTTCTCCCTTTCTCTCTCTCTGCCTGCCTCTCTTCACTACATCCTCTGTGAATAATTATACCAAACTCCTAAGTTAAACCACAGTTCTCAGTTTAAGGAAAAGGCAAGAGAGGAAGCACGGGTGCTGTTGGATAAATGCAGATCTTTGTTGATCAATTCTTTCCTGAAAAGTAAGTGTTTTCTTCTTGTGTTCCCAATGTTCACGTGTTCACAATGACCGGTTGCAGTGGTTTTAATGTGCATACATGTATCACATATGTCATATACAAGTGCTGATGGAAAAGAGCCTTTATGGGTAAAGAACTTGCCAGCTGGTGCCTGGGTGCTTAGGATGCCTATTGCTCTCAAATCGCAGGCTGAAAACTTCATAATGAAACCCGAAAATCACAGAAGCATAAACACAGCTGCTTATGCCTACAAAGTAAGTGGTTTACAAGGGAAAGCATAATCAGTAGAATCGAGTGTTTAGTCAATTACATTAACAGCAGACAAATAGAAATCATACGTATTTGACAGGAGGCCATTTTAAGAAACTTTGTATGCTGCAAATGTAATGAGACATCTGAAAAGAAATGTCATCCATTATTCATGAGTTTGAATAAAATACAAAGGGCTCTCCTAAAAAAAAAAAAATCAGAGAATTAAAATTCCCTTAAAATGCAAGGTTTTGATTTTAATAGCTCATTTTATTTTATTTTTTAAATTGGTTCAGAGGTACTTTTTTCTAGAAGTGACTTTTATGTGATTACAACCAGAGGGATTTAGTATACCTTAAAAATACCAGAGATAATTGTTTCAGGAAATCCTGCATGTCTGAGAATTTCTAAGAATATAAACACAATCTCTCAGAACTTGAACTGGGCTGGGAGAGGGGCATAGAGAAAAGCCGGCCCCTGCAGAGTGGGGCAGGTGGTGGAGGAAGTTCCCTTGGTGGATGGCAGAAGGTAATAACTGTATTCAGGTGGACCACGGGGGCGAAATCTGGTAGAAGGCACGGTCATC